TCTTCATTATTATGGACAAGATTTTCACAACATCTGCTGGTTTGCTTGGCTGCCAAGGACTGAATTTACTAATGAGAATGTGATGTGAATAGCCGTTGGGAGACTAGTCCACCAGTCTATTTGTATTTACACATGATTTCCTTTCTTACAGCTGATTCAACGGGTACACATTCTTTATACACAACTTACCAGAACAATGAAATAATGTTCCATATTCTACAATGCTGCCACATACACCAAACAATAAACAACAGGTAAGGATAGACTGGGTTATTATTGATGTCTTGAGTGAAAACTGAACAGAGCTATTGTAGTTGTACATACTTACAAAACATATGGTAAATAAACCTTCCCCATCTATTTCAGTTACTTCGTAAACGTCACATTGGTAATGATATTGTAACGATTGTCTTCCAAGAACCAGGAGCAAAGGCGTTTACACCTAAGACTATTCGCTCTCATTTCCAGCACGTTTTTATCATTGTACGTGTACATCATCCAAACACTGACAGTTTGTGCTACAGGTTAGTAGTGAACACTATTTCTATTACCAACCACATTTCTATGCAGGGTTTCCCAAGAATTCGTAGCCACAATGATAGTAATGCTTTACTAATTGATTTCAGTATGATAGCCTCTTTGTCCTCTCAAACTATAAAGTGATTTGTAATAGTTATTTGTAAATTATACATGACAAGTTCCATTGATATCAACTTATGTAAATTTGGTTATGCTTCTTACTGTGAAGTGACAGCTGCTACATTTTGTACTTTTGGTGGGATATTATTTAAGGTTACTAAGGCTGGTATGTTTCTGTGTGTATTTTGTGTTCTTTACAAAGCTTTGTAGTATTCTTATTCTCATTCACATCACATGTGAATAGAGACTGAAAGCTATGTATTTTTTGTTAAGTTATGACAATTATTTAAAACAATAATTATATCAGCTAGAATACATACATTCTTGTTATTGCATGTCATATGGTTAGTGACAATATTAAGTGATGATGTCAATTTGAAAGAATTCCTGGAGCCAGCCCTTTATGTGTATCAGGAGAAATTTATTCACTTTGTCATTGCTTCTAAAACATTGCAAATTACATATCAGAATGTCTGAAATTAATATACAATGTTTAGATAAGGTTAAAGTACAGATGTCATCTGTTGTCAATCTTACTGTACAATATCTGATCAAATCTACTCTTTTCATTTATGTATGCATTACCCAATGACTAGAAACTGAATTTTCTACCAGTCATAAGACGTTACAGCAATGATAATATGGTTCTGATAATACGGTATTAATAATATTAATTTTTGTTTTCATCAGTGTTGCTGTAGCAAGATCAAAGGAAGTCCCACCTTTTGGACCACCACTGCCAGATAATCCAACTTTTTCAAAATCAAAATCATTTACAGATTTTCTATTATCAAAAAGTAAGTATGACCATTTCTTAGTTGGTATCACTGTTGCATAGTGCCCTCTGTTGTTGAAGATTGAATTGCTTTTGTTTTGAACTATTTCAATCTTATGCTCAGGGAGCCCTCTTGTGGCAGGCTTAACAATAATACCCGGTAGTTATTATTTAGTATTTCTGAGGGTTCATGTACAACATGGAGTTATTTCTCGTTGCATTACTGACTGTTTTTTTGTTTCATAACATTTTTTTCGCTGTTTTTTTCTTTCCATGAATTACTACTAAATGCATGTCATTTTTCATGAACCTAAATAAAAACACATATTATATTTCGCCAACAAAAATATTTTGTTTTTCATTTCACTAATTCATAAGATTGTTTTAGTTATTAATGCAGAGAATGCGGCTCATAGATCAGATAAATTTGTTGCAATGGCCGTGAGAACGAGGCAAGAATACCTAAGAGATTTGGCTAATAACTATGTGAGCAATACAACTATTGATAGTGGTACTAAGTTTACTAAATTCACACTATGGGACAAGAAGAAAGAGAAGAGCCATCCCAAAGCATTGCCAGAAACTATCAGTAAAGGTGCCATTATATGGAGAGTGCAGGTGAGATATTTTCACCAACTTAGGGAGTACTTCTATTGTCTTCATTAGCTAATGAACCCTTAAAGCAGGTGGTAATAGTACTTATGCTTAAAGTCTGGTGATGATTGTAGACAAATCCTATTTACAAGTATGTTTTTATTATAAAATATTTTTTAAAGTGGCAATATGGATATTGTTTCTCTAGAAAACACAGCATTACCTTAATTTGTTTGTGTCTTCCAGGTAGAAGATTTTAGCCAGGCTGAGAGATTAGAGTGTATTCTCGGTATTTCCTCAGAAACTTTTGTCCTTGTAGATGTTGAAAGCAAAGAACCTGTCTTCAGTGTTCCTTGTAAGTCTGTCATAGGATGGACATTACAAAAGAATTGGTAAGTATTGTCAGCAATACATTTAAACACTCAGAACTGTACATACTGCCCATCTTGCTAGGTGGCATAGTTGGGCAAATGGTGTTCAGACAAAGAGCACGTGAAGCTGTAGGTCTATCACAAAAATCACATTATCCTTGTTACCATTTATATAGTGTATCACTGGAATAAAAAAGTAGCAATGTTGGTGTTATTTGAAAATTAGTGAGATACTGAAATGTGTGGAGGACAACAAAACTCCTATTATACAACATATAAAATACGTAATCTCTCTCAGAACACTGGTTTTTGTATACAGATTGAGAAGTTTGTTCAACATACTTGCATTTAATATAGCTTGTCTGAGTCACTGTGATTCACTGTCTTAGAGATCCAAATGAAATAGAGGTAGCCAACTTCATTACTCAAGTAAAGAAT